AACCAGGGCCATGATATTATCATCATTGATACATGATTACTTTGCTTCAAACATTGTATCGTAGTATTAACCAGCATTTACGATACACTCAAAAAAACATGTAAATGATGTGCTTTTGTTTTTTTCGATGACAGGTGCCTTGATGTTTAAAATATCCATATCCCACTGCTGTCAAAACACTAGAATATTCCACTGTAGTTTTACGAACCTTCAATTACCTCCCCTTAATTTTGTTTTCGATATTACTGTAGCGCGACTGGGCCCTCGAGCACTATCGTTGACTAGGTAGCTCAATCGGTTGTGCGACAGTATAACGATTGGTAGTCCAGGGTTCGAAACCCTAGTGACTGCGTTGCATTCTTACCCCAAGAGCACTGCTGTTAATTTTCGTTCGTTTACTTCTCTGCTTTTTTCATAAAAAAAAAATCCGCAAGGTATGGCTTTCTTTTCAGAAATGATTTATCAAAGCCGTATTGATACATGTAAAAATAAATACATTGCATGGTTTTGGTAGGGAAATCCGTAATAGAACAACGAATTGCGTTGAATTAAGCAGAAAAAAATAAGTATCACATTATTAATACACAAGGGCTGAGCGATAGCAGAAGGCAAGCAAAAAAAAGAAAGTAAGTAAAGTAACGATTTTAGGATCCCAACAACAAATTGAGTAATTCAATTCAACTCAACACAACTCAAATGAGTAATTTTAAACAAAAATACGTAGCAAAAAAATAACACAAAGCAAAATTAGCACATAACGAAAAATCGCAAAAACTGTATATGACAAAAAAAACACTTTACAAAACAAATATAACACATTACAAATACTCAGCATTAAAGCATCACATGACAAATACAAGTTGCTCAGTTTGATGAGTAAACATTTATAAAAAAAACGTTTAACATTCAAGTTCTCATGAAATGCATTCCCGAATAGAAGAAAATCCTACCCACCGCTACCAGACTGCTGAATGTTTTCCTATAGACGTTTGTATGGGATATAGACGGCGTCACCAAGACAAGACAGCTAATAAATAGTTCTATTATGTTCGGAGACAGCATCTAGAAGGAAACAAACAGCATGTTAGACGTGTTTAACGTGCTGTAGACATCTCAATCAGACACAAGGTCATCGCTATACCTTCCTCCGAGCAGTCCCATTACACCTAACCACTGATTCAGTGTGGCGCGTCCATTTGAGGAAGCAAGTTATCAAGAATAATGGTGAATCACGTATCTGTGTTGTAAGAAGGCGTTTTTCTTCTTTTCCAAGTTTCATTCTCATATTTTGCGGTGTTCTTTATTTTCACTGTTGTTAATTTTCGTACGTTTACTTCTCTACTTTTTCATAAAAAAAATCCGCAAGGTATGGCTTTCTCTTCAGAAATGATTTATCAAAGCCATATTCATATATGTATATAAAAAAAGTTTCATTCTCATATTATCAGGTGTTCTTTATTTTGACACTATCAAAATAACAGCAAGAAAGAAATGTCAGCTCTAATAAATGATAAAAATGTCAATACTTGTTTTGTTTTGTTCTCAAGGTTGTAATACTGAAAATGTACATGTTTGAAATAATAACAATACTATGAAAAGAATGTCAAGCATGATGTGCTTTGTGCTTTGTATTATTGAATCAAAACAACAAACTTTGAAAGATGTTTAGGACACGAGATTGCTGTTCTGTTTTTCATAAGCGAGTTATGTTAAGTTTGAATTGAAATACCTCATCAATGTTTTTTCTAGACAATTGAATCAGAAATATTCATATAAATCTATTATTTATCACTTCTGCAAAATCAAATTAGCACGAAAATTGCATTATTCACAGTGTGCAATTTAAGTATAATGATCTGAGGTCAAGGATCGTAAATCCTAGTCTAGTCCCGTTGTGTTTTCACACTGAGAACATTATCTTGTGTTTTTTTAATTCATATTTATATTTATTTGGTAAAAGATCCGCTTTTCAGAATTGATTTAAAAAACTATAGTCATGTCGTAAAATATTTCAAGAACACAACTACAGATTTTTTGTAGTGGTAAGGAAATCTTAAAGAAATATTCATGTTGATTGCAAGATTCCAAACTACTAGACCTTATAGTTATGATGCAATTCAAGAACTTTATTCCAGGAACTTCAATTAAAACAGACGAATCAATGATTCAGTTTCATCGATTTTAACAGATGGCTGAGGACCGCTGGCATTTTGATTCCTTAGAAGTTTTATTTCCTAGACAAATGTCCTCGTTTAGGCTTTAAGTGCAGACAGAAAACGTTTGATATATTATCGGTCTAAAAGTAGTGATCGTCGCTGAACATTGCGCTTACCATTACATGCAGCTCTTTGAGAACATAAACTTAAAAGGATTTCTTTATATAGGTAACAATCCAAACCACAATTTGCTTACATTTTAAAAGCCTGAGTAAATAAAGAAAATACATAAAACATAAATAAAAATCACTATGTTTATCGTTTATTCTATTTTTACTTATCTATATGTGTATTAAATGCAGCTATTTAGTTATTGTTTTTCTGGGGGGGGGGGGTTCTTTCCTTTTTTCTGTTTTTTTTCTTTTGTAGTTGTTCTGGTACGAATGAAATAAATGATAATAATTAAGCATGTAGAATTTGCTGAAAAGATAACCAATAATTGTGTGGACTTTGGTCTACTTACAGGACTTCCATAAATATTCACATAAGATGTGGCAATTATCTGTTAAATCTCGTTGTCATTCGTTCAATGTGAATATTCATCACATAGAAAGTAGGTGGTCAAAGGTTAAAAGGCGCAATCTCCTTAAGACATTCGTCTATGTGCTTGGTAATTTCCTTATTTTCAGAGATAAAATGCCGCGCAATGCTCTACTTTCCGTTTTTTAGTAAACGATTCCTGAAGCCGTGGTCATGGCAACCAATTTATACCAGTTAGCTTAAGAAATTGCGCCTAATAATGGAAGAAGTTATTTATCGATCATTTGAATAATATAATGATATCTTATTTTTAATTTCTATCGAGCGTAAATGTGATTGGACTGGAGCTTTAGGTTTTATTCCTGAATAAAAAAGGAAACTGAATTGTGGCCTAGTTTGTCTGCAAGGTGACAATGCTTTGTCTTCTCTGGAAACCTCGGTTTAGAGAGTAATGGATACATTTCTGATGACGCTTACGCATGAGATACACCATTGGGTTGTTAAGTGTTGAATAATCACCCATCTTCCGTCAATGAATGTTTATCGGAAAGCTCCAGTAACTTGGCTCCGTCGGACCTTGGAAAAGGTGATCCGACCTTTTAGACTATCAATTTAGGGTAAGAAATGTCGCCAAGGAAAAAGTTTACTGTGTATTTTTCTTACTGCGAGTTTGTTGTTAATCAGGGAAAGAAAAAAAATCTCTGTTCCTCTTGCAGCATTTAATCCCGATTCCCAGGCAACGGCTGTTTATACAGATGTCAGCGCCCGCGTTTTTATATCAGGATTCCCGGTAAATTACGGATTAATATATGTTTTGGTGAAGCAAACCAGTATAGAAAATCGTTAGTATTCCCTTTTCCCTTTTTTTGTGGTACAAAACATTGATCCTATGCTAGAAACTTCCAAACAGTCTTTTTAGGTCAAACAGTCTAACAACTTGTTTTGATACATCTGGAGTACAGCCACTTTTGTAATATAGTCTCACTAACTTAACAAACTTGACCAATTAATCATTAGACTATAACATTCATCAATACTAAAACAACATTTTTTAAACTTAATCATGTGTGTTGTTTGGATTCAAAATGACTACTTTCGGGTAATACACACACAAGATCCATATTTCGACGAACACACTTAAAAAATACATTTGCAAATGAAAGTTATCATTTTATTAAGTTGGTAAACTTCATACAACATAATTCTGTACCAATATTACTTGAATACTATTGTATGCCTAAGTATGTGTGTGGGCGAGATGTACGTCTGCTTGAAATAATTGGTATGGTAAACAATTGGTGTATCAACCAACGACATTCCGCTGTTTCCGTCATCACTGCCGCAACAATGTGTAATTGAAAGTAGAATGAAGAAAGGTCAACAGCTATCCGTTCCGGTCACATTGTTCTTCATTCTATTTTAGTCTTATGCTGAACACACTACAGCATCGTAGTGTGCTTTATTTAACATTATTATCTTGTAGTCGCTAACATGTACGCGCTTTATGTGATGGAGACTGGGAAATAAACCATTACCTTAATTATACGCATTCCTTTCATTCCTTTCATTCTTTTCATTCCGTCGTCGTTGGTATTCAAACGGAAAACATACGAAGAAGAAACAGAAAGAGCTTCTTTGCCATTTCTTCTTGACTTTTTGGTAAACAATATTGTGAACACATCACAACACGGAAAACTCTCATGAGGAACCTGGAGGGAGGAAAGTCTAAATAGCTCTGATATTTTTTATTTTTTTTTCATACATTTACATTTGATATAAAAGGTACTTCGGTTATAAATGTATCTTAAAGTGTAGACAGTATGGTCTGTTAGTTTTTAAGAAGGTTCAAGTTCTAAATACAATGACGTCAGCAATGATAAACTGAAAACGCTTGGTAAAAACAACAAAAGATTACAGAAGAGATAAAAAAAAAAAAAAAAAAAAAAAAAAAAAAAAAAGTAGGTCGGGGATGTAGTCTAAAGCAGCGGTATTGTTTCATACCAATGAATCAAAAGAAGGAATAATGGCTTTAGTTCATTACAACAAATGATCATATGACCTAAACTGTTTCAAGTTCGAATAGCCTCGAACAAAACAAAACAAAACATTGAGATAGTAAAACTGGCATCGGCCATGTTGTTGTTGACTGAAAAAGCGCCTCTACCGGCGGAATGTGGCAACCCAGTCCTATTGTAGCGCACTATAACGTCACATGTAGTTATTCTATCAGAACTGAGATCTTATCACTTGACAAACTACTAAGGAGTATGTATAATAGACCAATTCTGTCTCGTATATCCCCGAACCGCGGGAGAAAATAACATTTAATGATGATGTCGATATACTAATTAAAGTGATAAAAATCGAATGCGATCTTGAGTTAGGTTACAATACATCAAACTCGTAAATTGATCGTTCAATGGTTATAATTTACACCCAATAATTGGGACTCAAAATCTAATTTTGGCAATTCCAACGACATTTCTGCTGGCATAGTCCTTATTCCGATCTGATAATCGCGACGAAAACATTTCTATTGGCTTTATAAATGAATAAACTGTCAATTTCCGATGTCATTTTCACCATTACACCGTGCAGGCGGACACTAAACATCCCTCTGTTACGAAGTTGTCAGGACTGAAACAACAGCAGCTTCAGCCTCAGCCTCAGCAGCCCTTTACGCGGTAAGTACTCTTAGTATCTGGTAGCCGGGCGCAGTCTATGAAGCTTAATTAGACTTAAAAGACCTATTAAGGCATTATTTTCAAAATTATTTTTATAAAACATTTCTTTTTAAACATAATGTTCACCATTGTGTACTTCTTGAGGTGATCATTTTGAATTCCATAATATATATGTAAGTTTCAAATTTATTAGTTAAGAAACTTTCAGTGTTGAAAACTGATAAAATATTGGATCCTATGTATATTTCTGTTTAATTCCGAGTTTCGGCTCAGAGTATACATTTATCTCATGCTTCAGACCCAACATCGAGGGAAATGGTTTTGACTATTGACTGATAATGCATGAAACAAATGTTTTTAACTTGATAAATGATAAGCAAATGTTGTATGACATGATGATGTGATCTATTGATCTGTTTGATTGTTATTATATCGCCAGACTATCTTCGATTGGCTGTTACATGCCTCTGTCAGCCAATCAGAGTTTGTAAGATAACAGCCGAATCTGGGAAAATAGTTGAAAATGCTTTACATGTATTTATTCCGTCTCTGCGTATTGCAGAGCTATCTTCTTTTGTGGGCAGGTATTGATTGTTACGTCATTTGTTTGTGAGAGTAACGTCATCAATTTTTGAGAATACAACGTAATTTTCTCACACAAACCAATGACGTAACAATCAATACCTGCTCACAAGAGAAGATAACTCTGCAATACGCAAAGACGGAATATGGAGTCAGGTAACAATTTCTACAGTTGAGTTATTTTAGGAGTGAAGGAAACTAATATCATTCTCAGTTTGATCGAAATAATGATATTTGTAGTATTTAGTTCTGTTATATCTAGCTGCACTTGCGAGTTGAATGTTATAAGTCATAACGGGTTTTTTCAAGATGTTCGAAAACACATTATTCTGTATTTTATTGTTGTTTATCAATTACCATTGTACTTCCTTGATATTATTTTCTAAGTGTTATCAAAGTGTACGTCAGAGGTTACCTGTGTTTGTAAACACCATTTCTTTTCTCATTGATAAACAAATATTCAGAAATATCAAGTTGTATCTTAAACTTTACTTTTTAATCAAATTGCACTTCTAAAAATGATATTGAGACAAGAAAATTAAGTTGAATTTTATTGAAATAGACAAATATTGAGTACTTTATTGATTGTATCTGATTAGTAGATAAGTGAATATAATAATGGATACTCTTTCTCATAAAGACAAATTCACATAAGAAGGATATGGGGGTTATAATACTTATTTAAGAGCTACTTTTCATGTTAAGTATTTCAATTAATGTAAATATATGTACCTGCTCATATCGAAACCTCACAATTGTTATTCCCAATTCCCAACTATATTCGATGTCTGATTTTTTTAAATACACGAATAGAAAGCCAGTTGGTAGATATCGTCTGTAAATTGGCCTTTTTGTACCGGGCACTTCATGATCGATTTGAATAGTTCAGATCGGCATAAAAACAAAAACCGTTCCATCACAAAATTTTGTTGATGTAACGAAAAGCAGCCGCAGTCATTTAGGTGATTGATTCAAAGCTGCATAGTGTGAAGCAGACATTCAAACGTCTCATTGACAAGTATAATAATAACGTCTAAGCCAAAATCTCTTGCTACGACCGCAGGTGTTTGTCAAAATCTAGGGATTGTTCTGTATATGTAAACATGCAGTAAATTAAAGTATCCAGCATGTTCTTGAGGTAACACTGGAAGTATGATGGTGAAATATTAAAATAGCAGTATAACGAGATGTTATATACATGTTATATATTATATTTTAACCATCAGTAGAATATCCGTAATTGACTGTTTTGTGTATTATGGTATTCCGTTTCCGTATGTTGTTTCGATTTTTATTTTGTTTACTTCCTGTTTCCGGGAATATAATGGAAAGTTGTAGAGTGAAGGTGTTTTGATTCATCTCTTGATAATCCTCTCACATCGCAAACCCTGTATAGAGAAAACTGTTTCAGATCTACTCACAAATTCCTATTCCGCTACTTAAAACGGTTCCTTTAAAAATTGATCATCCTGAATGACGTCGTTTGTAGAATCCATTTCATTTGTATATACAAAAATTCACTCAAATTTTGTTTCATAACAATTTTCTTCTTATTCATATTCAGCTTTTAAACATCTTAGAGCTTATTTTATTGGTCAATTTTAGAATTCACAGTAGAATTATGAACGTTTCGATTTAAATTTTCGTGAGATCGTGTCTCGTGAATGAGATTTGAATCTGATGAAACATTTGTATAAAGGTCCAATAGTTCACACAGGCTCTGGAAACAAATGAATCATTGTTATAAAATGTCAACATTTTAATGCCCTTACTATCACGAATTGCATCAGTTGAGTTTTTAAAAACTTGAAAGTAATCCTTATAAAACACGCAATTGCCAAAAGGTCAGTGTCGGCGTAGTCTAATGCAAAGCAAATTCACATGACATCACATCAGTATTATAGTGTTGGTGAATTAACTTCACAATCAAATTAGAGCAGAAAACCCGCCACAGTATAACCACACAAGAACAAAATCCGCTGTCAAAGCTGATACAAATGAACAACAGAAGGTGAAGAGATCAAGTCAAAGAAAAACTTTGAACCAATAAAACAGACGTAAACAAGGTGTTTTGGAAAGGTAAGCGTTTCCAAAGGTGGCACCAGTATTTATGGCATACGTCCTATCCTGGAAAGTAAGAAGGTCAGCAACGGTCTTGTTCAAGACTAACACCATGTTTGACTCTGAAATCTAATACAGTAAAACCTACATTCAAAGACATCCTTCATCAAGTCCTTCAAGTGGTTTTTATTGCTGATTCAATTGACTCCTTCATGTTTCGAAAAGAACAGTCCTGCTTCAGACCATCGCATATTATCATAACAGGCGACTTGTGTGAGGTACGCTGCAAAATCAAGTGTTTTCTTCTATTTCCTTTTGTTAGGAGGCCTGGTAGTCCAGTGGTAGTACACCGGGCTCGTGACCGAAGGGTTGTGGATTCGAGTCACGTCGCGGCACTGTGTTGTATCTTTGAGCAAGGCAATATATTTTACTCCGCTTGTTCTAGTCTACTCATCTGTAAATGAATACGTGGTTGAGCAGTGCTAGAATTTGTAGAATGCTAGCCATGAGCACCGACTGTATGCTCCCCATGGTGTTAATACAGATATTGGCTGGTTGCAAAGGCCAAATAACCACGGAAAACAATTTGTGAACCGCTTTGGACATCCCACGAACTTGGTTGTGATAAAGCGGTATATGAGAACCTCGAATTATATGTTTTTTAACAATTATCATAAAATGCAACTTATCCGGGGTCCACTGCGAAATCAAGGGTTTTCCTGTATGTCTTCTTGTTAAGAGACATTGAATAAACCAAAACTGATGTGCTGCCCCTCGGGATCTGTATCCTTTCTTGTCTCACTTCCCTACTGTCTCTTTCGGATGGCGTCCCCCTTAGCATCCGTCTCCATGTAACCGTGGATTTTGCAAGGACCACAAAGGAAAGAAACCCGAACTTATACATAAACAGATTAAGTTAACATGTTAAATACTAAAATTTTCTTCACAGTATCAATATTGGCCTAGTGCGATATATGTTTGTTATTTATAAATACGCTCTCTTTGTCATTGTTTTCATAGCGAGTGGCATTGTCTTTAATCTGTTTGAGTTCTGTTATATTAAAATAATTGAAAATATGCTCTGCTAAATCAATTTAATTGTAGTATTGAAGAAACGTGTGCTGAGATTTTCATTCTTTTGTTATCAACACCCTGGGGAGCATACAGTCGGTCCTGCTAGTTCGGCGCTCATGGCTTTCATTCTTTTGTCAACATTTAAGATATGAGGGTGGTCAGATAAATCAGGATAGCATCATGATGCCGAATTGAGGACAATATTTAAGGTGTCATATTGGCGACATTTAAGATATGAGGGTGGTCAGATAAATCATGATAGCATCATGATGCCGAATTGAAGACAATATTTAAGGTCATATTGGCAACATTTCAGATATGAGGGTGGTCAGATAAGTCATGATGACATCATGATGCCGAATTGAAGACAATACTGAAGGTGTCATATTGGCAACATTTAAGATTTGATTGTGGTCAGATAAATCATGATAGCATCATGATGCCGAATTGAGGACAATATTTAAGGTGTCATATTGGCGACATTTAAGATATGAGGGTGGTCAGATAAATCATGATAGCATCATGATGCCGAATTGAAGACAATACTTAAGGTGTCATATTGGCAACATTTAAGATTTGATGGTGGTCAGATAAATCAGGATAGCATCATGATGCCGAAATAAGGACAATAGTTAAGGTGTCATATTGGCAACATTTAAGATATGAGGGTGGCCAGATAAATCATGATAGCATCATGATGCCGAAATTAGGACAATAGTTAAGATGTCATATTGGCAACATTTCAGATATGAGGGTGGTCAGATAAGTCATGATGACATCATGATGCCGAATTGAAGACAATACTTAAGATGTCATATTGGCGACATTTAAGATTTGATGGTGGTCAGATAAATCATGATAGCATCATGATGCCGAATTGATGACAATACTTAAGGTGTCATATTGGCAACATTTAAGATTTGATGGTGGTCAGATAAATCATGATAGCATCATGATGCCGAATTGAGGACAATACTTAAGATGTCATATTGGCGACATTCAAGATATGAGGGTGGTCAGATAAGTCAATATAGTCATGCTATATTAGTTTTAGAAAATATATAGGATATGAATAATAACTTACAGATTTTTTTCTGAATTTAATGGTAAGTAGCATCATGAATGTCACATGCGGTACAGGAAAATATTTTCGTTTCACAGTACCTTAATTTGCCACCAATATTATTGCTATTTATGCTGGTTTCCCTCTTGTTTTGGCGTTTATTTATTTCCTAATGTTGACTTTTCATGTCGAACTTCGATTTCGATTTTTTTTGTTTTAC